GCAGAACTGCTGTTGGGACAGTCCTACACAGTAATGCTTGGTACCCACTTTCCTCCTTGCCCTGGACCACACTTATTGGAAATGTCCATCTGGTAGAACAGGGCAACGGCAAAACGAGCAGTTTGGTTTGCTGAAATGCCAGAGCCAGAAGCTGTACCCTCCAGAGATGGGATCCACTGAACTGCAGAAACTGGTCACATCATCCACCTCACCCGAGGTGATCTAGTAACACTTCTGGCATTACAGGTGAATTTCAAACCCACAGGACCAGCAGAAAGAGTGAGTTTTTACTTTGTGGGGAATTTCCACACACATAAAGAAGCAGCTTCTTTTTTTTTTTTTTTTTTCCTCCCCTGTGGAAGAAATCTGTAAGGTTTCCCATGCAACAGGAAAGTGAAATTTAATTTTAAAATTACCAAGACAAGGGTTCTGAAGCAAGTGGATGATATTTTTTGTGGGGAACTTTGCCCAGCATCTGTTGAATAGTGGACAAACATGACACATTCATGCAGGAGCTGTCATTGTGCTATACTGAATCAGTGTTTCTGCCTGGAAAACTCTCTGACCGCTCACTTCTTCTTCTGTTCTTCACACTCTCCTCTTATTTCTTAGTGTCCCAGTAACTTTGCAGCCCCAGCATGAACCTCAAAGGGTGTACAAGAGAAGGTGCACAAGATGCTGCACAGAAGCAGATGTTTCTTGCAGACACCGTTTCTAACCAAGCCATCCCATGGCCGCTGCCTATGGGGTAAGCTCCCAGTTGCCCAGCTGGGACACGATGACAAAAGCCATCGTTCTCCTGCCTACCATTGAGTTCCCAGGGAGATGTCACTGCCAGGCTAACAGGCATTGAAGCCTTTCCTCTCATGGGGCCAGGACTGTGAGACCTGACAGCTGTTCTGCCATAATACTCGCATCTATTCAGAGACTGAAATCGGAAAAGCTGCTCTGAGGCTCTCCATAAGGGCACAATTCTAAAGGCTGCTAAATGCTGTGATTTCTGGCACTGAACTACTCTTCCAGGCCCCTGCTCAGTAAAGTATTTCTCACTGAATTAAGGGGAATGTAAGTATGTGCTTATGCATTTGGATGAACAGAGAAAGCCTGCTGAATCAAAGGAACTACTGAGAGCACAGTAGAAGCCCTTAAAAATCATGTGTTTTTTTTTCTCCTAAAAGTATCTGTTATTTATTCCCAAGTCCTTATCTTGTTTATAACAAAGAATGAACAAAATTCCTTTCCCAAGGCTGGACAGTCCTGGAGCACATCCGCTCCAAACAGGGACAAAAATAAGCTTGATTTCAGGCAGATTAAATAAGTAAATGCTTCTTAGTCTCTTGACTTCTTTCTCTCCCTTTTGTCTTTTTTATTCCCCTGTACACAGTAAACCTAAGGTTGTATGGCCTCATTCAAAAGTCTGTTGACTTTGATAGAACTCTTTCTGTTGGATTGAATGGGTTTTAGAGCAGCCCTGCAGGCAGAGTATGGCAATATCTTTATACAGGTTTCTCATCCACTGTCTAGAGAAAGGAATATTAATTATTAAAACACTGGTCCAGCACACAGCCCCCAGAAACTGTCAATATTCACTCTGCTTTGTTATTTAATTTAAAATTGTTTTCTCTCTGAGTACAAAATTTGTAGAGGCTGAATAGGTTTCCAATTTCTAGCTTATTTTATATACAACCTTCAAACCATAATTGCTTCTGAAGCACATCACACACAAAGGTAAGTATACAAACGGTAGTTTCCAAACATTATAATAAACCATCTTTAAAATGAATGTGCCCGGAATCAGAAGCCCCACGTGGCTGCAATAAGGACGTTGGCTGCGGGTGATTTTGTCGCTGGGGAAGGCATGGCCTGACAAGCTGGGGGTGGCGAGGGCTGCACAGTCGCGCAAGCGAGCTGCAGCACCAAGCACTCTCAGGGCTGTGCCCTGGCCTCTCCCCCGACAAGTCCAGCTGAGTAAGTACACGGCTTTGGTGAGATGGAGGAACGCAAAACGCCCTTATGCCCTTCTATTTCAGCTAGTGAAGCTCCCACGAACGAGCTAGAACATTTTTGCCATCAAGGCCCTGATCCAGCTGTCACGAGGGACCCCACTGGAGGGTTGCTACGGAGGGGATTTTCACAGTGGGACAAGCTCCCGGTCTCGGTGCCACCCAGGTCCCACCGATGGATGCATTTCACTGTTTCACAGTATTTTTCCAGACCCCTAAGTGGTACCTACGTAAACACTTGGCCTCTGGCATGTCATACTGGTCTCACACAAACCTAACGAGAGGCCTTCTGAGCTCAGGTCCCCATCCCCATCCTAAAAATAGAGGGGTACAGGCAGTTCTGATCCATGTATGTATTGTTGTAGCACTCAATACACACCTTGAGATTTTAAAGCAGGCTGTGACTTGTCACCTGTAACTAAAAGATATCGATACGCAGACATACCATGTGCTCTTGCAAAATGACAGAAAAACTGTTCATGTTACCTCAGTGCAAACATGACTGCAGTTTGCTTTTGAATAGCTACTGCTCTAAGAGACACATTATCATCGGGTAAATGAGTTTGCTACCCATATTTAGCCATTGTAAATAAAAGAAGCAGACCAACCTGCATATGATTTTTTTTTCTTTTTTTGGCGTTTGCATGCTTAATACAGAACTAGTAGGTTTAAAATCTCACTGAACATTCTATGTGAATTAACCAGATTCTAGAGTAATGTGGAAAGGAAAATAATGAAAAGTACAGCTTTTCATTTAAACATATGCAGCTCTTTTCATGCAGGGTTTTCTTTTAAGTTTTTTTTTTTTTTCCCCTTTTTTTAAATCACACTTTGCATTAAAGAACATAGCCAGTGTAAACACAGTCTGTAACACTTATAAAACAGTGCAAATTTTGTAAATTTCTGGGAGGAGGTTGAAATACATATATGTATAATGAAGGTAAAATCACTTTCTTTCTCAGTAGAAAAATATGTATATTAAACACTTATATGTTTGGAACTTAATTTCACAAAAGAGCAAGTTATAGTCCTATACTGTATAATAAATTAATATATTTTCTAGATTTCCATTTTTGGTGTTAGTGTCAAATGCATAATAACACTAGAAAAAAAACAAGAGAAACATGTATTATTTAGAACCTAATGAAAATCTTAGAGATAATAACTGATGTAAGAGGGCACAGAATAAAGAACTGGGGAAAGAAGCAATGGAAAAATACCGACCTCTATGAATTATTGCACATTTGAGATCATTCTCATGGCCTTTGGGCCAATTCTGGATACTTTTAAGTCTTAGGTCAGTGTTTGTTTCCATTTGACTGTAGGGTACAATTTAGGAACCACTGCAAAATGTCAAGGATTTACTGAACTTGTTTGCCGATGAAACCACAGGCAGCTGAGTGCAGAGTGCTAACTTTTATTCATGCAATCAAAGAGAACAACGCTAAAAAAATACTGAAATACAGGCAAGGTTGCCTGCCATAAATATATTTTTGGGAACTTGCTCCAGCAGATCTTATTGAGACAGAACTCTCATGTCTACTGTGTTTTCATTAAAGCCGTGCCAAAAACTGCAGAACTGGCTTCTGCCTTCATTATTCAGAGCTTTTTCCTTGAATACTATTGTCTCCGTGATCTGACTCTGCAACCCTTAATCAACTGAGCATGGAAATCTCCATGAAACATACTGGTTCAAAGAAAACTCAACTCACTGGGTAGTAATGCCTGATGCTGAGTACCTGTACAACACTTCTCATCCACAAGCAGCAAGAATGCCTTCTGTAAAGATAAATGACAGTATCCTGTTTGACTGATGGGATCACTCACATAAGTGAGAAATGCAAGACTTTACCAGCCACTTTTCAATGGTTGCAGAGAGAGTAGAAATATTCCTGCTTCAGCCAAAAGGTACATAAACTGACAGGTATATAAAGAACTGTCTTAGGTAATTATCACTGCAATTGAAGTCAGACTACCAGTAAACCTGAATAATTTAGTACTTCACCTCTGAATATTGCTGTAGCAATTGTTTTCTACTGCTGATGTTCTCAAAAAAAGATTAATTTCAAATTGTAACTACTGATTTTGGAAAAAAAACCCGTATGTAAAATTACATTGCCTTTACTACAACTCTTAAAAGAGCTCAAGAGATCTTAAGAAATTTCAAATTAATGAATTGACCAACAGATAAATTTATACTTAAACTGTTTAAAAAAAACCCATTAAAACTTTGCAAAAAATTGTGAAATAATCTTAATCGACAGAAAAATCATTTAAAATCCTCCTAAACATCTTTTGATATTCTAGTAAGTTGTTTAATAAAACCACACTGCTAACCATTGACTAGGAATACAACATGCCTCAATAACAAAATGAAGAGATGCTGATGTGAGCAGGTGATTTATTCTGCAGTAACTGTTACTATGCACTTTATTGATAAAGCTTCAACTGCATTGCTTCAGCTGGTCATCTTCTAAAATGTATTTGCGAGACAATGTTACCGGGAAGGTTTCCTCTTCCTTCCTTTTGAGAATGATTCACCCCTTGTGGTCTGTGCAGGAGATAATAATTTTTGTAGCACGATCAGAATTTCAAACTGTACTGAAGTCTATATGAAAAACCCAACAACTTCCGTATACTTCAAATACTATTACTTAAATATGTATGGATGTTGGAGATCATATACAGTGACCCTTTTATCCATCCCAGATTGTAAACCTACTGTGAAACGACGGGATGTGTTTTTTCTACCCCCCCTCCTTTTTAAAGAAGCAATAAAACTGTACATTAAAAGACAGGAAGGACATTACTGAGTTACAAAACAATGCCCCCTTTGTCAATAATTTGTAAATGTAAACAAAAAAGTTCGAGTAGAAAAGCAAACAAGTGTGCTGCTGCTTCAAATATGTTTTCTCACCCCATGGGGTAAGGGCAAAGTTCTTTAAAAACATGTCTTCATGGCGGTCATGAAGCATCTCAAGAGAGTCCCGATCTTCACTACCAAATATCACTGGTGAAGCTAAGCTCCTTTGCCGATAAAGGTAGCAATGGGTTGTTCCTGTGAAACTCCTGGGAATCCTTCACGGTATTGTTAAGAGGTAGCTGTCCGTTTAGCAGTGTCAAAGGTATGTTACAGTACGTGTGATGGTTGCTTATGGAAGCTATTGGCAATGTTGCTGCTGACACATCATATTCATATCCTCTGCAATAATGCCTCATTTGCACAGAGTCTGCTTGGTGGTAATCAGTTAAATCAGCCCGCGATTCTACCAACGTGGCAGAAGTGCCTGTGACGGCAAGAGACGGTACAGTCTGGAGGTCTCCAAAAAGGCCCTGCTCTGCAGAATCCAGGACCTGATGCCGAGACACCACCTCCTTTTTCTTCCCTGGCATTTCAAAGACTAGGCGCTTCCAAAACTTAGAATTCAGTTTGCTGCTTTTTGGTCCTTTCCACTTGACCACTGAGAGAAGTTTGATGGTGTGCTTTAAAGATTCCACTTCGTGACAATTCACTTTCCCTTTTAATTCAGTACACTCAATCAAAATAACTTTGATTTCTCCACTGACTAGCATGTTATGGAGTCTGTTTTCCATCTCAAAAATACTCCATCCTCTCCTGAGAACATAGTCTGGAGTTAACACGATAATGAGTCTTCTGCTTTGTTCAACACATCTTGTGAGATCTTCAATGTAGGCTACAAATTATAGAAAGAGAGAAAGAGTAAAGAATAAAGAAGTCTATTGTATCAAAACATCAGGCTTGCAATCAAGTATAACAAAATCCTACAGCTTACTGACCCACACAATTTAAGACAAGGGGCATTTCACAACATACTCCAACAAAAATAGGACTGTGTATCACAACGCATTTCTGTTTATGGAGTACATATAGAAAACTCCTTAATAACACTCTCCATCCTTTACTGTTTTTTCCTGTTCATCTCAACAGAATGACATTTTTTTAATATCCTCACTGTGTAGATGCATTAGGGACTAAAAATACACAGTTCACTTACTGAAAAAATCTAGGTCAAGATCAATGTAATGTTTGTGTAAATTTTAACATTAACACTGGTTATGATTAACATCTCATTGAGGGAAGCACACTCTGGGAAGCAGTTCTTGTGTTTCAGGTGCAAGGACATGTGGGTGCTGCAGCGTGTATGAACTTGAAAAGAGCTCAGAAAGAAATCAGCCCTCATCACATGCAGAACTTGTGCTATTGCATAGAAGCATCATGGTAGCTCTTTCTTCTTTAGTTATTGACCACAAAAGCACAGTAACATTCTTTGTGGCCCAATGGTCTGTTTTAGTATCACAAACCTGTGCTTCTATGTACCCCGAGGCATTAACAGAAACTTCACAAGTGACAGGAACAAATGGAAAATTTAAACATATTGGAGGTGTTTATTTGTTGAGACATCAGTGACAAAGAAAATAGTATTCTTCTTTTATTCATGCATGCCAAGTAGGTGCAAACGATCAGTGTAAGCAGAAATGCCAGCCCCATCGTTAAGTCCATGATGTCAGTTTATTGAACTACAAAATACTCTCGAAGTTGGTCTTGGATCCCTGAGTTTCACCTGTCCCAGGGATGGTAGAGAAGAGAAGCCAATTACACTGGTCTGACATGGAACAGGATGGGAAAGAGATCTACTTACAGACCTGAACCAAAACCCATTCAAATGAACAGACTTCGACAAATTTCAATGAGTTTTGGGTCAAGATCAGAAAAATGAAACCACTTGAAGAAAAACCCACTAAGGTCAGAAAAGTGTTCATTGGTTGCACAGCATTATGATTGCAAGCTCAGAGGCAGGGTATAAATTTTTTTTTTATCTACATGAACCTCTTGACCATGCTGCTCAGAATGTGCTGCCTGACAACAGAGGAGAAGCATGTGTTATAAATGAAGACTTGGACACAAGAGCTGCACAGAACAGATCTTTACTCAGCACAGGGCAGGGCCTCTCTTACACACACTGCCCTCTAGCAGGAACAACAATTACAAATAACATCATTAATCAACATCTGTTACTGCAAGACTCATTTTTATAGTCCCAGGCACCATACCACAGCATGCTTATTCACACTACTTCCAGTAAAGTAAATAGCTACAAAATAGACCAACAGGAACATTCTAAAATAGCTTATTTTCATGAGACTGAAGGCATAGTTAGCATCAAATCTGCCTTTACCAATGTTTTATTTCACCACTTAGCAGCAAGAAGAATTTCTTTCACAAATGGAAAAGAGAGGCAATTGCAAACATCCCACAGACACACGAAAATTTAAGACATACACGTACATTACAAATGTCTATGCAACAATCCTGACTTTCAGTTAATGTTTTATGACTCTTTAATCATGCAGCATTTACATTTTTTTTCTTTTTTTCTCAAAATATTTTACGAAGAAAACCCCCACATTGCTCTGTGTAAAATAGTTACTCATTAATGAAAAAAATTCAACATTAAAATCCATGGGAGAGGCAGCGGAGAGGGGAGAGAATCAGCAACAATGAGAAAATGATAAGCAGAACTGGTGAAACAAAACTTAAGGAAAGGTAGAAATGTTCAATACAATGGAAAGAGATTATCCCAATGTATCAACAGCTCAGACTCTTCATTTTCTTCCTTTCTTTCTGCTCCCAAAAAGAAAGAATTTAGGTGGGAAGCTTCATCATTAGAGGTTGAATCTGCAAGATACAGTAAAACAACAAACTATCATGCATCTTTCCTGAGACATATTCATCCCTCCTTCAAACAACTCAGAACACTGCTATGTACAAGACAATTCTCTGCAGGACACAATACCGGTCAGTACCACATATCCAGGTTAGGCCACGCACATCCTATATGCATTCAATTAAAAAAAAAACCAAACCAACAACAAAAAAAACCAACAAAAAGCCAACCAACCAAACAAAAAAATCACTCCACTTTCATCTCTTTAAACATCCAGCGGCAATAATTTCAACAGCAACCACTCAGCAATAATCCGTTACACCATCTCAATCAAAAACTCACCAGACTTTGCTTTAGTGAAACAGGGAATGAGGTGGGAAGAAGACAGGAAGAATTCCCTGTTTCTCAGATGGGTACTTCTCCGCTCTGTGCCTCTCCCATACTTTGGCATGCTCACCTTACTTACTGGATATTGCAACAAGTTAGAGCTCTTTCTACAGATGACTACACAGACACCTTCACAAGTGACTACTGTGGGCTCCTTCAAATTCCAAGCTTGCAGCTGGTTCCCTGAGAGACACGGCCAATGCACAGGGGGTCTGTCGGTGCACTGAGATAAAATACACTGTATTACAGGAAACTGGAAACCCAAATGAAAAGGCAAATGCATCTTCCAGCCGCCTGGTCCAGAAGTACTTCGTACTCCCAAATAACTTCAGCTTGGAACTACTACTAAATGCAGGTGACAACTTTCCTGGAGCACGCGGTTCCATCGGGTGCACTCTACGATATGTCCAATGTGCACAACTTAAACTTTTCTGTGAGGAAAAGCATGGGGGACAGATTCCTATCTGTAGAAATTCAAGCTTTATTTTTTCCAGTGGCACTAGACTGACTGCATAAACCGGTGAGTTGCTAAATCACCCGCTCTCCTTTCACTTCAGAATTCGAGACTGCTCAAAATACCACAGGTTCAGTTGTCTGTCTTAAGTGTTCACTCCATCAGGAGGTATTAAATCCAAGCAATCTCTATTGCAACGTAGGATGAAGAAAGGGTTGTTTTCACCTTCCCAGTGAGCTAAGAAGTAATTGTCAGGCAATGGCTCTGTTTCACTTTCAAGAAAAATACTGAGCAGGGATTTCAGGAACGACATCACCAACTAGGATCAACTGTCAGATTCCAGACTAACACACTTCCATCAGATGAGTATCATTTTGCTGAAACTTCACTTTCGCTGCAGGAGGTGTCAACTTCAATGACATTTCATTTTGAGGGGAGAAAAAAACCGTCTTGACAAAATCAGTATGGAATTACTCATTTTTAATTCCCAAAGACTGTATTTTATCATAAACCAGAACGTAAAAATAAAATGTCAGCATTAGGATTAACCCACCTGATTTTACTGAAAAAGAACATTTTAAATTTTGACCCTTTCCCCCACCTTGAAGCATCATTTTGCAAATGGCACAAAAACTGTTTTCAAAATGTTAGCATTTCCCATAGGTCAAAAAAAGTGGCTCTATCAGTAATTTACTTGCATCATGTCCAATGCAATGCCCAAGGAGGTACGGACAGCAAGAGCTTTTAGACCCGTAAACAAACATATTTTTTGCATGGCTGCCCTTCAGTAATGAAGACGGATCACCTGACAGCAAATATGTGCTCACCAAACGCTGTCAACATGGAACGATGCTGAACTGTAGATTGAAGCACTGAAGAAGAAAAGTCCAAGACATGCATCCCATTTCCAACTAAATCATGCATAACTGCCTTCTGAATCTTGAATGAGCTACATTAACCACAGGCTGGAAAGAAACCCAGACAACCTAATACACAAGCAGACTAAGAGCAAGGAAATTAATGAACACCACGGACACAGAGTTGCTTACACAAAGAAATGACTGAATAACCAGATTCAGATGATTTGCAGGAGCAGTTGAGGCAGAGGGAAAGAACACCAAAAATCATATGAAGTCCTATGGATATTTTTGGGAAGCATGGTCTGCTGCACCACAAGAACCAAAGAGTACCTACCATCAGCCCCATACTAGCTGGTTCCTGGCACTCTGAAAATAACCAGCCTTTTTGCATTTAGCAATGTGACTATCACTTGAGAACGTTATTTATAGAAGAGTAATTCAGTCTTGGTTTTCTAACTGAATAGTTCCCAAACCCTAACTGATAACTTTATTATAACAAAAATGATTGCATGTCTTCCTTTTCCTAGTTATTAAATATTTGTTGCTTCTGTTAGCAGCAATCTGTTAGCTCAGACCAGAACAGCAATGCAGCTGGAACTGCTGAAACACAGAGGGGAGAGATGGCCCCTCCCCAGACTGCCCAATCCTAGTATAAACTACAGGACAGCTGATGAGTTCAACAAAGAAATAAATAATGCAGATCAGCAGGACACACTGCCCTCTCAGCACACCAGTCCCTTAACCATTGTCAGACTTTCTGCATTTGACATGGCACAGGAAGGAGGGGTTAAGGAGAAGGAAAAGACGGTGGCTCTGGGGATGTCTCCTTGCATACTAAAGTGCCTGAAGTGGGTGATTTGGTGAAATTGCTTTGGCGATAGATGTTGGAATCAAAACTCTGGATGTTTAGAATCAGAGTCTCATAGACCCATACAGGTCAGAAGGAGGCTCTGGAAGTCTCCAGGTCAATATCCTGCCCAAAGCAGGACCAGCTAAGACTGCTCAAGGCCTCATCCAGTATGGTTTTGAAGACTTCCAAGTTGGACGTTTCTTCTCAGTGTCTCTGGGTTCTGTTCCAGTGTCTGACCACCCTCATGGTAAGGAAAATTTTCCAAATGTGTAAATCGAATTTACACTCATACCTGTGGACTCTTGTTCAACAACTGTGCACCTCTGTGAAGAGTCTGTCTCCATCTTTGTGCTTTCTACACTGGAAAAACAACACCAAGATTCCTCCTTGTCTTCGTCTTTGTTGGCCTTTTCTTCAAGAAATACAGTTCTTTTGAGCTCTCCTCTTGTACTGAGTGCGCCAGCTCCCTGACCACCTTGGTGGCCTTCGGTGGGCTGTTACAGGGTAGCCAGCCTTCTGGCTTTTGTTCATATTTCTTCCACTTTCAACTGTCATTCCTCTGTATCCCTGCTACCCCTGCCTGTGCCTGGCATTAAGTGTAAGGTTTATATAAAGTTTAAACAACCAAGGACTTCTGAAAGGAGTTTGTGGAGCTAGGTACTTTATTCTCATTCCATATAAATAGTGTCCCATACCTAATTAAGGCCCCTTGGGATCTCCAGACACACAGTCCAACTGGGTTGTCTTCATCTGGGAACCCAGGAAGCTCCAATTCACCAGATAAAAATGACACAGATGGGCAGCCAAAACTACAAAGTGCCAGAACTGTAATATTGACTGTTGGGTGCTTTTTATCACATGCCTTAGGCGCTCTCCTGTTGTGCTGACAACCTCTCATTTTTCAGGTAAAAGCAAAGATTTTTATTCCATCACTGTTGTTCTTTTCAGTGCCTGATCTCTATACCCTGGGCTGAGCTGGAGTGAATTGTTGGTGTTTTTTCAATCCTGTCAAGATCAAATGCACATAGCTTAGAGAGCAACTAGATGATGCTGTAATAGATTTGTATTGCTGGTATTAAAAATCCAACTTGACAGTTTTGACCTCTTCACTGTCAGGGTTCAAAATAATTTGTAGAAACCATGTGAGAAAAGTATCTTCCTCTGATGTAGTCCCAATTTTAGAAGAGTCAAGTGCAAATAGATCTTTCTCTCTGTAGACATGAGCAAAAAAGAAAATGGCTCAGGTAAAAACATAACTATTCCTATTTCCCTCCCCCAGCTATTCAGTCTCCTCAGGTCTCCTAACACTGAATAAAAAGCTCACAGGGCTTGTGAGCGCTTGCTGTGGGAAAGGGTTTGTTAAGAAAGCCCTGCAAACTAACAGGGTGGAAAAAATGGTACCTGCTAAGAAACTTTAGTAACGACTGCAACTGTATCTTAGGGATCACAGTCCCCTTGCAAACTAACAGGGTGGAAAAAGTGGTACCTGCTAAGAAACTTTAGTAACAACTGCAACTGTATCTTAGGGATCACAGTCCCCTTACGCAGGCTAGCATGTTCAGTTATGCCTTAGTTACCTAGGCAGAAAGGCATGTGCGCTGTCAGCTTGGACAGAATGAAGAACACGCCCTCTGTTAAGACCAAAGAACATTCTTTTAAGAAAGAATAGCTGCTATAGTACTTCCTATAACATGCAACACACAGCACACTGCATGTCGTGTCTCCCTGCTGTGTCACCCTTCTCATTGTCCAGCCTGAGTGGCCACGTGGGCTTCTGCGTGAGCGAGAGCAGAGCAGCGGTGCCTGCTTGAGCCCCTTTTCCACCTCACCAGTTTGGGGAGACGGGTCCATCTGTGCTGCTTCCAGGCAGCACGTAGAGTCACTGCCAAGGTCCTTGCTGGCCACCGTGTGGTGGGCATTGCCGAGGCCCTTGGCACCCTTCACAGTGGTTCTCCCACTAGGACAAAACACTCCTGGGATAACATTTGTATCCCGGCAGGGCACAGAAACGAACATCCACCGCAAAACATGACTCAGCCCCATCTGACCTGAACTCTGGATGCCAGGGATTTGCTTCCCAGTGGGAAGAGGTATCCTCAGTCCCCACAGCCATCACCTCTGTCCTCTTAGGGACAGCAACAGTCGCTCCATGGGGGCACCCCTGAAACAGAGTCCTCGGCGCAGAGCCGAAATGCGGAGCTCAGATAGGCAGCGCGAAGGAGCTTGCTGCTGGGTGTGTCTGTCCCAGCTAAGGCACATGTGGCTCTAACCTCTCCCTCAGCTGCACAGGGACATGCAGAGCTGACCACAGCTTTTCCCCAGAGGTTAGAGATGACCCAGCTGGACAAAAACATAATCAAACTTGTCCCTAAACGTTTCTGAAGTCAGCTTTTTAGTTTGTTCGGAGAAGTGTGCAAGAAAGTTAATGAAATACTATTTAACAAATCTATTTTTTGCTTGCTCTCAAATCAAGTAGCAGCTGTATGTATTGCTTCATGCCAGGAAGGAAGTGCAATGATGCACACCCTCCTGTGGCAGCACCTTAAAATTGCAGAGATGAGATGAAACAACCAGCCTTACAAAACACACCTGATTTGCTGTACTAGTGGAATGGCACACATTTATGTACACAAGATATAGAAGGAAACACAACAGAATGGACAGTGGGAAAGCATTACATTACACTGAAAGTCATTTACACCAAAAGATGAGGAAATGCAGCACATGTGAGAAGAGATATTTCCTAAAATAAAACAGGTAACTGTCATCGCACCCACATTTTTCTATAGAAATCTACCCTGAAGAGCTATATGTTTTGTCACATCTGCCACTTTTTGAGACAGTCACTCTAAAATATGTTATGTTTACTGCTGAAGTTTCTAGCAGGTCCACACCACATCACGCTGCCTGCTCTCTTCACTAAGCACTGCAAGTCCTTGTGAGGCTGGTGAGAATTAGGCAGAACGCAGCCGTGTTCCACTTCTCCAGCGCACGTGGAGAACTTAGAAATACAGGAATCTGAGTCTTACCTCTCTCCCCCCGTCTTGCCCCCTCAATAGAGTGCCTATTATAAAGCTAAAACATGCATATCACTCATTTCAGTTACACATTTTATTCTGCATTGTCATTATGTCTGATTAAGAGTTCTTGAAGCTGCATGTGTTAGAATCAGGCCCTTTCATAATACTGAAGTGAGTTTGAGAGGAAAAAAGAGGTATTAAATCTGTGAATGTTCACAAATGAGAACTGACATTTTCAGGTACCCTACATTTTCATGAGAGGCTTCATGAATATCCAAAGTGATGACAAGTATTTGCTAAGTATCTGACTGACAAGAATAGACAAAAATAAAATACCATGCTGGCTGGTACAGCAATTGGAAAGAAGAATCTCATTTCAGATTAATCTGTGCTTCAGCATAGTTATCATTGAAGGGGCTAGCGTTAAACTCTTTAATTCACTTGTGTAATTGGTGTGTATAACTCTGCTGTATTACTGGATATGAAACAACTATTTACAACAGTTCTGTGATTTTTTACACAAAAAGATATATTTTCTCTTAATAATATCTAAACATTCAATAGTACTTGCTTGTACTGTCAGCAGTAAGAAGGCAATGAGCCAAGTCCATTTTCTGGAATATGTCACTAGGGGAGTAAAACTCACACCTTGCAGGGGCAGGGCAAAAAGAATAAAGGAAGCAGCTCTAACCTAGGAGCTGCAAATGCACATGATAAATTCAAGCTGCTACACAGGCCTTCGCATGATCTCTGACTAGGCTCTGCCTCCTCTTTCCCAATGGTACAGGATTCAGAGCTCTGTTTCCAGCTCTTTCAAACGTCAGGGAAGAAGTAGGATCCATCTTCTGGGGCTGGCACTGGGGTTTGGCAGCAGCAAGGCAGCAGTTTCAAGTCTTTTGGCAGGCAGGTTGCCAATGCAGCCATGTTCTAGCTGTTTCATGTTTGGGGACATCTGCTCCAGCACAGCCATTGCTTTGTTTTCTTGTTCATATTTCCTATACAGTAGCATGTACACAGAGAAGCTCATATTCTCTTCTAATATTTTTTCATGGAAGTGATTTGCAGACAGAATTCGTAAAAAAAGCTTATTTTTCACCAGGGTAGCATTTCAAATAAATGTGATATTAAAACAAACATACTGTGCATTAAAAATTCATTGACACGGTGTATATGATTCATGGTCTTTTTTGACTTGTCCAAAAACAAATCTGGAACAAAAGATGCCATAACTACAGCTGGAACGAGATTAACTGTTGGTACAGACATCCAAAGGTGCTGCTGAATCTTCAGACGTGGCAGTAAAACTGATTTGAAATGGACAACTGTATTTCACTGTCAGCATGGAAAACAGCATCGGATCACTGGGCTGTACATAGTCTTCTGAGGAATTAGTATTGCTTACACAATACCAATTACTTTCACAATACCAGCACTGCTCAGAAATGCAACACTTCGTCAAAACTCGAATGGAAAAGTTGCACCTATAGCATTAACTGGGAATCTATTGTAACTATTTACGAGACTTCAAAGTTAGGAAAAAAACCCGAGAGACAACAGGAAAGATAACTTTTACTGTAAAGCTACTGCAGACAAACAAGTAATTACCAGAAAAAAATATTAATCCCATTTTCAATGATAAAACAGAGACTACAAAACCATTTTTGGAAGCTTCCTGCTTAGCCACCTGTGTCTGATGTAGAGATTTTGGACTACAGTATTGCTTGCAGCGCTGCAGTCTTCCCTGTAGGAAGGTCCAGCTCCTGCCTCCACTGAAATCAATGGCAGTTCCTTCTGATTTCAGCAGTGCAGGAACGAGCTCTAACCTAGAGCTCTAATTTGCAGTACTGAGGAAACTTTTCCAGTCCTCACAACCACTTCACAAGGAGAGGTTTCCCAGACCTAGTACTTATCGCACAGTCCAGGCCTTCATGACATGAGAGAGAATTAAAACTGAAAGGTCAGAAGTACTTACTTCCACTAGGGATCAGGTCCCTATCCGGAATGAAGAGCTTATATCCATAGTGCTTTTCTAGAACATCTGGCAGAATTTCAAGTGCAAACTGCTCCTCTTCATTATTATCACAATCTAACGCATCAGGATCCACTTTGGTGTATGAAAGATACGCATCATATTCCTTGTTGTCTGTAAGAAAACAAATCCAAGTTCAGCCTGCTGTTTGCAACAGCACTATAAAGAATATACGAAAGCACTAGGACATTGTATTATTCCTTGGAATGATCAAGCATTTCCCAGCAAAATTGGGACTTTTCACAGGAACATACAATCTGGCTTCCACAGAGAAATTTTTCAGATCCAGACAAAGGATATCCTTTCAGTTTTCTTCTGCATGTGGAGCTAGCTAGTAACTCTGCTTCATGTAGTCAGTGTACACATTTCATACCTGAAAAGATTGTGGGCAAATTTTTGATACAAATACTAAAGCTGGAACTTTTAATCTTAATCCTTTACATATTGCTAACGGAAACCTTTCAACTCCTATGCCTCAAGAGTGCTATGATTATGCGACAGTTTTGAGCTCGGAAAAGTTTTTCAGCCTGGGAAGTTTGCGAAGTTTTCAGCAAGGAAAACTTCCTTGCACAAGTAATTGTGACAAAATACATGAGCTAACTCAAATGAATACTGATTATGCAGACAACAATGACAAATTCAAACAGTCTAAAGCTTTTTTTTTTTTTTTAGAAAATATTGTTGGTTTTAAATCCAATATCGTAATTTTAGAGGTCACTTGATCCAGGACATCTTAAATACTTGGGGTTCACAGTATGAGAGAGAGAAATAACTCCAAGAGCAAATGGAGTGCAGCGGGAGACTTGCCCCTCCTTTTGCTGCAGCTCAGAGGTGGAGGCAGGCAGCAGGTGACAGAGGGGACCCAGGCAATGCTACAGCAGGGCTACCTTTGGTTTGGCTAGAAAGGGCAACACACCTCCTTCTCCTCCTCCTGCATAGCACTGGAGCTTGTCTCCAGCTCTCTGCATCTGAAACATGGAGCTAAGAGCTGGCAACTGTGTCAGGAACAGAAGTGGCACCACTATCAAGCTTAGGATCCATGCTGGGATCAGACTGTCTTAGTGACATTTCTCTTTGATATTCCTCTGTAATAATGGAAAATAGTATATTGAAAAAGTCAACCTTCAGCAATTCAGTCTTCAGGGAAGAGCACAGCTGCCATTATTTACAGAAAATGAAAAATCAAATAGTTAATGTTGTGAGGACAAAACTGCATGAATAGAGGATTGCTGAGTACCAATTATCTGTAAAGAATAGAGCACATGAAAGATAATTAAAGCAGTTAAAATCATCAATATATTCTGATAAAAAGAAAAAATAGCTAATCATAATACAATATATTCCTTGATGACCTTGAAATGATGGTTAGTTTCTTACAATTCTTGACACAAAGCCAGACCCACGAGGGTCAGCGCTACAGACAAAGCATGTGAATAATTATAAGTCAGTAAAAGGCAATTTGCCCAGTGTCACCATAGCTGTAAGGGAGATGTCCCCCTGGCTTGCCGATATTTTTCTGAAATCAACAGCGTACAAAAATAGTAGTTACTGATGGAAAGATGACGGAAGAACAAACAGCAAAGAAATACAGGCCAGTCAGCTTTGGAAGCCTGTCCAAAACCTGCTGCCCTGTCTGTGATGAAACCTGCCAAAACCTTTTAAGAGAAGCCAGCCACCAAGTGATCCAGGAGGCAAACATCCCTGCAAACACCTGAGAGCTCTGCAAAGGCAGCAAAGCAAACCCCAGGGCACTGACATGCCTGGCTATAAAGCGGCGTGAAGGCTGCGCACAGACTGTGTGCAGGCAGCCCCTGAGCCTTCTGCCCCTTCAGCTGCGTGGGGACAACTGCCCTCCCCAGTCACCTCTATTCACAATACAGGTAGGCAAGAGGCAGACAGAACGAGTTCCCCTGGGCTCCTGCGAGTCTGTGCGCTTGTGCGACACCTCTACTGTCTCGACTCCCTCTTCACAAGCTTCACATACACGGGACATCGCAGAAGGACCTATCCTTCTTACCCTCTTAAGTTAATTTTAAGTCCTTAAACAGAAGGACTTACCCTATGCTTACCCACTGCTTGCTCTGGGTGCTTTTGGATGCAGCACCTTTTTCTGAATGGCTTCCCTTAATCCTCAGTATCATTTTCTCTAAAAACAAAGCTACACACAACGCAGGAAGCGAATGCATCCAACACCGCTTACACAGGACATTTTTAGAAATAGGAATAAAGCAAATCCGTTGAGTTCCAAATCCTCTATTTTAAAGAAATACATGCATAAATGGAAAATGACCCTGCAATTGCATCTATACAGCTGACTGCTCATGGGAGCTCTGTATGTTCCCACTATAGTCTACATAAGTAGAAAGAAACACCCCATATACGCTTTGACTTCAGTAAATTGAAAAGCGATTGAACCAAGAAGGTTACATGAGTAAAATTGCAGCAGCTTCACACTGAAAACATAAGACAAATGAATCAAAGCAACCTGGAGGAAGTTAATACTTTGGGTCACTTTCTGTTCGCATGACCCAGAATGTTATGTTGCTATAATCCCCAAGTGTTAGAGGCAAATTACTTCCAAAACCACATTATCTCACCCTTCGCTTCTCCTAGGTATCAATATAAATATTGTGCAGTATTGTATAGTGTGAAATGTATTAAAAAAGCATCATTTTAGGTTTTCCCATTTACACAGGAAGATCGAGAAAGAGGAAGTTTCCTCACTGCTATTCCTCCTATTTATCATTCCATGTTCCGAAATCCCCTGGATGTCATTCCACCCATTCTCTCTTCTATGGATTTCATTGCAGTGCAACATTTTTGCACCGTATCTACCCAGTCTTAAACAGAAACATTTATTACTTTGATAACAGCAACGCTATCTGCAGAAAGTCTGTCCAACTGCACATTGTTTCAGCACAACATGGGAAATGTGTTCCCAGCTCTTTTTTCAAATACATTACTGTTTCTAGATATACCATTCCAGACTGCCTACATGACTTGTAAGTGTTGCAATGGGCTGTGAAAAGTACCTGTACTAGAATACTGTACTTCACATCTTTACCAGACACTAGTTACATGCATATTAATAACATAAATTATGCTAGAAGCGTTAAGAATACAGTAATAGGATTTAAAGCACTTGGATTTAGTTTACCAGGGCTTACTCCAGCTTCACAGGAGCAGTAATGTTCTATATTCAGAAGAATTAAAGCCTCAGTTTACAAATAACATGTCTAACTTTAGGCACCAAACAGAACATAGGCTAGTGAGAGGAAAGGGGGAAAGAACACTGAAAACCAGCCTAGTTTATTCCTAAACATACTCTCCAGGCAACCTGTACATTTTCACTCAGTTGTTTACCAATTAACTGATGTAACTAGTTCGCCTCTATAACAGTCACCTCTCACTATTCACTGGAGTTAGTTGGTAGCCTGAAGACAATTCAATGGAAAAGTTTAACGAAAAATAGCTGGTGAAAGGGCTGCCCACATACAGTATGGAACTCAGGAGAAGCAATCCTGGGCATATGTGGCACTGGGACACATGAATATGAAGAGTTCTCCTGAGGAATCAGTTCACAAATTACATTCAAGCCTCTACCACAGACTCATGAAAAATTCTTCTCAATCCCATTTATGGCATGGCCCAGTGACAAGACTCATCGATTTCAGTAAGCTTTGGGAGAAAGTCTTAAGGCTTTACACTGTTGGGTGCTTAGTAGTTTGAACTTAAAACTGGAAGCAGGTATCTTTTGGGATTCATTTCAATCTAGAACTTTCATCACTTTGTCTCTCTGAAATATTTCCATTGCATATATTGAGCGTCCTAAGCAACTGCTTACCGTCAGCTGCTTCGTCTCCTCCAAAGTTCTGTCTGTAGAACAGCATTAACTCTATGTTGTAGCACTTATAGATGGTCACGAGCAAAATAAGCAGAAGAAGGATGGCTCCCAGTCCTCCAGCAAGCTCTATTTTGTAGATCAAATCTAAAATTAGCAAGGAAAGACAAAAAGGTTATGATCTTTCCGAGCTTTATTTGCTCTATTCCACTGTACAATTCCACATAAAATTGTACAGCTTCCAATTAAAACCACTGTAACATTAAGGATGTCTAATTTTTTTGTTCATTACCTATTACTTAACTTTACCCATTTACTCCATCTACTGTCCATATGAAATCATGATCCAGAATGCATTTGAGGCTATAACCATAATTCTTCTACAAGGGAATTATGCAGTGATTTTACACAGCAGATTAATCAACTTTTAATGAGCTTGTGGAATTTGAAACTTCTGTACTGGCAGAGTGCATCAAATGCTGTGTACAGCATGTGACAACACATATACTAGACATACTGCACCCCATTTGGGAGGCTCTAGTCTCCCCAAAATTATTAAATTTTGGGTTTATATTTGTGAAGCCAGTGGATGAACTGATGTGAGCTGCCAAGCCAGGACTTCAGCTGGATCACTGGAGAATGATTTGAGCATACAGATTGCCCAAGACAATGTGAGAAGCCAGGAACACACATTAGGCTGCTAAGAGCCACTTTGTTTGAGTTGTGGCAGCTACTAACAGAGTTCTCACATGTTTGTTTAGTACACATTATACTTTAATGGGAACTAGTGCTAGTTAAAATTTCCTACTGGGATGCGTTTGTTAGGAAACATCACAAACAGTCTGCCTCAAAGAACTTCACAAATTCATCCAAACGCAATTATCCATCTTTTACAGCTGGGGAAACAGAGGCATAGAAGAGTGAAGTAACATGTTCAAGGTCATTCAGCAAACCAATGCCAGAATGGGATAAAAAAAGTTGCATACCACTCCAGTGCTCTACCTGATGGAACTGGCTAACTTTAACAGCATTGCTCTTCAACCTGAAATGTCTTCTGAACACAATATTGCTCATAACACCACTTTGCATATTACTTAGGCATAAAAGACAAAAGATGACAATTTGACAATAGCTACCTCTAACAGCCTATACTAGTTTAGATAAGATGTCATGAAGATACTTGTTGCTGTGATAAAAACAACAGGAAGATGTAAAAACTGTAATACAGACAAGATAAAATTTTTGTGATCTTTACGCTTCTAAAACTTCAGTCAGAAAAAATTACTGGTATGCCATTTGTGTGATTTTCAAGATAAAAAGCAAATCAGCTGTGTATCTTTTGGGGTTATTCTTGCCTTGCCATGCCTGGTATTTCAATAATTAACATCAGATGTCAAGCTATTCCCAGTTTAAAGTATCTCTTACATCTGTCTAGTAAGAAGTCATGGACTAATAGATGGAAAAAGTCTATTATAATAGCTATTTAATCTCTCTGAGAACACAGGGAATTCATGGGACTTCTATTACGCTGCATGATAAAGTTAGTATATGCTCTGGGGATAAACCTGGTCAAATGGAGAACATAGCTGGTTAAACTCACTTTTCAGGAAAAAAAACAACCCTATTTTTTTGTTGTACTTAATCCTTTTTGCTAGGAAAGTGAGATGCTGGCAAAGCTGCAGCTTGGAAGGAGAGAAAATGCTGAGCCTTGAACACCTGCAGCCCACAAAGCAGCACACACTTGTATCCACTTGTTGGGGGAATGGCAGAGTGGCCAGCAGGTCAAGGGAGGGGATTCTCCCTCTGTACTCTGCTCTGGTGAGACCCCACCTGCAGCGCTGTGTCCAGCTCTGGGGCCCCCAGCCCAAGACAGACATGGACAACAGGTCCAGAGGAGGCAACAAAGATGACCAGGGGGCTGGGCTGGGTGAGGACAGGCTGAGACAGCTGGGTTTGTTCAGCCTGGAGGAGAGAAGGCTCCAGGGGAGACCTCATAATGGCCTTCCAGTACTTCAAGGGGGCGTCTAAGAAAGAGGGGGGCAATCACTTTAGTAGGGCCTGTTGCAACAGGACAAGGGGTAATGGTTTTAAACTAAAAGAAGGTAGATTCAGACTAGATATAAGGAAGAAATTTTTTACAATGAGGGTGGTGAAACGCTGGCACAGGCTGCCCAGAGAGGGGGTAGGCGCCCCACACCTCATTCAAGGTCAGGTTGGACGGGTCCCTGAGCAGCGTGATCCAGCTGAAGATGTCCCTGCTCACTGCAGGAGGGTTGGACTAGACGGTCTTTAAAGGTCCCTTCTGACCCAAGCTGTTCTATGGTTCTATCCAGCAAACTCACAAACTCCAGCTCAAAAGGCAGAATCGATGTGCTTTTCCATGTCCTGTATTTGTCCTACTGCCCCAGAAACCCTCCTAGAGTCCAGACATAAGGAAGCAGAAAACCAAGGCTTTTGCGCTCCTAATTTCCATTCCAAGGTGGAGGCAATGGAGAAAACCCCAGAGCGTTCTGGTTTTTTGCCTATTCCAGCTCTTATTCTCTGCCTTTGATTAATGTCTTACTCCTCAAGGGGTCCTCTCTGAGGTCAACAGGGAAGGCAGCACACCCAACACGAGGAAAGGAGTTGAACCTGGGCTTTGTAGTGACTGAAAATTAGTAAATAATAATATTCTGATAGTTTCTAATGTAAATAATGTAGAAGGACTTAGCCTCAATGTAGCACACAGGATTATGGTCTTTAAAATACTAAAAGCCTCATAAACATCCAATAAATGAGAGACAAATATATTTTAGAAGGTTCCTCATCATTTAGTACTCTATCAGTACCAAAAAACCCTCAAAAATTAGTTTCCTGCATGTCTTGAATAAAGGCAGCCTTCTTGAAATAAATGGTGCGCAAACATCATTCTAATATTTACTTTTATCTAAATTCACTGCTTCTTTCCACTAAAAGCACAGCTTGATTTTATTCTGCAGTTCCTGACAAAGCTATTCATGTTCCAGGACAGTTATATTACAGACTATCACTAACATACTGGATCGTTTTCAAATTCATTTGAAGGGAATCCTGAACAATTTCCACAACTAAGGGACAAGTGGGTGTATATTGCGTTCCCATGTAATTGGAGCACCAAACATGCTAGGACAGCATGAAGAAAAAAAGAAAAGCAAACCCAGGATTATCCAGAACTTACTTTTTAACTACTTGAAAGCAAACAAAAATGTGGTCTGGAATTAAGTCAGTAAAGAAGAATGGGATAGCAGACAGTGGGATTGAGGTCTCGGGAGTATGCCTGATTCTGTCTTTGCATTGGCAGCTTTGGGTGTTTGAAACTGATTTTGGTTCTTTTTCAGTCAAAAAATCAATTAAAAAAAAAAATCCTAAATGATGATGCATGGTCTGGGGCTATCAGTACATTGGTGCTGCATAGACAGCACTCCTGTATTCTCTGAAAGCATTTGTGAGGACTGTATCACTAATACAGAAAAAAAGAATTCAACATATTTTACCTAAATATTTGCACAGTTGCTTTTTCTTCCTTAAAGCAAAGTATGCACTTGAAAATAACCACCTGATGTCAAACCAAGGACTAACTCTGGAAACTCTTATACTACAGCTACAACTTGGATTTGGATTCATTCCTGTTTTTTTATCTAAGCCTTCCTACTTTAGCAGGACTCATGGTTTAGGCTAGCTTGTGTACACCTGATGTGCTGCAATCACACCTTTGAACAGACATAACCTACAGCACCGTGACAACCTGAAGACAAAACGTAGCTACAAGCACCTCTTGCCGAACAGGGACACCGCAGCCCTTAGCAGGTAAGACTTTGGAGGGAGGGGGATTTCTTTGGCCGAGAGATCTGTGCTTCCTCTTCGCCTTTCCCAAGAGCCTCAGCATGTGGAAAGCTCCAGCACACTACAACAGGAATCCACGACCCCTTCTTTGACATGCACAAAGGATGCTGGTCAACAGCTTCCTACCAGTCCTGCCCTAAATCTTGTCACAGGTCAGTAAATACAGTAGTATTTCCTGGCTCATGAATACTCTACAGCCAAATCCTAGCTGGCAAAAGCTAGGATAAGAAGTAATTACATCAAGTTGCAGAAAGAAAAAGTTTGGTCAAGTATCTGTAAGAACTTAATAAATAACAAACAGGACAACAGGTCAGGCAGTCAAAGGACACAGTGAAAAATACTGTGGTTATTTTAAATGACATTTTAATAGCTTGAAAATCAACTATTGAGCGTGCCTGAGGGGAATATAAGCTTTCTACAGCCACAGTGCAGAGAGAAATGAAATAGTAGCTCGGAAGTGATCCTTTCCACCTCCAAATTCTGTATTCAGCAGTGCTTCTTCCATAATTTCAGCAGAGCTCTGAAATATCTGCATTTTCTTGTTATAAATAAACCTAGCCTGTTATTCTAATATATGCAACACAGCTGAATATTTAATGGTGTCAACACAGATATACTTACTATCAGCTGTGTATTTATGAGGTTCAGTGGATGGAAAGGTAGAACACGTTTTGCACTGAAGAGGCTAATCCTTCATCATGATAAGCAGATTCCTTAATTAAAGTTGTGACATCCTGTCAGTTTAGGTATTGAATATACATTCATGTGTGTTCCACACCACAACTGCAGGCCCTTGTTTCTCAGAGCAGTTTGCACCTTCTGTATTGTGCTTTGTCCTTATCACTTAGTTAAAATATAACCTGTGTTATGCCCTTCTTTCTGGGAGGACATACAACTCTCACGTACAGAGGAAACTGTATAAGTAGGACTTGATTTAACTGATTTTGACAGAACTGCATACTGTACTATAACCTGTGGGTCACATGAAAGAATAGCAAAAAAAAGAGGATATTGACCCAAAAGTTTCCTCTCCCTAGTAGCACTTTTTCTGTCCCAAACCCATCCACTTACTTACCTTTCATTTTATACATTTTATACATATTACAGCCATGAAACACAGTGCTTAGCATCCAGCATGCCTTTACGTGAACCAATGACTATGGATGTTTTCCAGAACTGCGGTGCCCTATCTAGAGAGGCCTTGGCTGGTCTTCCTGCTCTTCCACCCGGTTCTTAGTTCATTAGTCCCACGGTGATGTCTGCCCTAGGCTCAGAGGTCAATCTACAGCATGCTCAGGCACTGATAGTATATCTAAACCTTCCCCAAACGGTGACACTTTTGCAGGATTTTGCTGCACCTGTGACAAGCACGTCCTTTGCCTGAGTGGTCTGAAAGCAAAGGAAGGACTGGAACAGCGCTTGCAGATGTGCCTCATGAAAACATTTATTCTTCTCCTCTTTGGTATATTAATTTACAGCCAAGAATAATGGCCGAGATCTGGACAACTTATTAACTCTTTAGTCACTCTCCTGTGCGGATGGCTCTGTGGTTTCACATCATGTCTTTATCCCCAGTGCGTAACCTTCTTTTGCTTTCCTAAGTTACTGTCTTACAGCTTTTGTACAGCCTAATACACTGTATCTTAGAGAGATCACCATCAAATTTAAATGTCACCCTACTTACGAATAGGGGAGGTGACTGAACAAACAACATAAGAACTGTAATGAGATACTGTTACACTCCTTACAACAATGACTTCCACAAAGAGCAGAGCACAGTAGCACCTTTTAATAAGGAACATTCAAACCCAAATGGTTTCCTTTCTGCTACAGATAACTTGTCAGTAGCGGTATTCACAATTCCAGGTACAGTACCAAGCAAAGCAACCACGACGGGGTAATTCACCATCGATTTGTAGCTGCCATTGCAATGTTTCATTCCCAATGCAGTTAAGGAACCAAAATGCATGGCAACCACTTAAAGCTTTCAATTCAAACAGCAAAGCCAGGAAACGGAGAAATACGAGAACATCTCACCTCATTGCTGAGCTACCTGTTCTAAGAAATGCACATTTTAACTCCGTCACACAATTACCTCTGGTCTAGTCAGTCAACTCTGGGTCAAATCCATAGGTTGTTTAGACCAAAATACTTCCACTGATTATATTGGTGCTTATAGGTGACTGCATTCCAGGCAAGTGCATCACCCGCAAGGCTGATTCACTACAGACTGAAGAACAACTCATTAATTTTTTTCACAAATGGCAAACTGAACCTGTAACACAAACATACTTCAGTTCCAAGCAGGCACACAGGAGTCCAGCCTGGCTCAGAGAGGTCAACAGGATCTTTGCTACTAGCTGACCTGTTGCTGCTGAGGCAGGTGAGATTACAGATAATTAAATAATTACCTTTCTTGCGCAGAAGAACACTGGCATGTTTCCGTCCGTTTCTGTTTTCCACATGACAGGTGTAGTTAGCCAGGTCTGCCTCCTCTACAGCATCAAAGATCAATGTCAATTCAACTTCTTTTTCTCCAAGATGTTCTCTGAGGAGTCTGAAAGAAAGGATACAGTCTTCATTTAACTGAATAATATAGGTGGAAGATTCCCGAAAGAACCATGATTTCTCAGCACAAGATACGCAGTGTTCCTGGCCTCCTTTGCTCCTAGAGAAGGACTTAGAAGGAGACTTGAGTTGCCTGAAAGAGACTTCACAGAGGCATCTTTCATGCCAACCAAAAGCCTTTTTCTCCTGCCATGTCTGCAGCGAGGAGCTGAAGCGCAGGAAGAGTGGCTGTGAGCGCCAACGGCTGCATGTGGCTTGTTTACCTCAGCTTCACCAGAATTAAATGCTGAAAACTATGTTTCTTTTAAAAGAAGCAATAAATACTCACTTTCCAGAGAAGTAAATATGTGCTACTAAGCCATTGCTGAGCAAATTATAAGGCAGTATTTTAAAGGCTGGGTGTTCTGATACATTTTAATGCAGTCTGGAAAACCAATTAAAGGAGCTGTGCTACTCTGTGGAATTTTCCTCTCTTTTTTTGGGGCCAGATCCTGATTTTAAAAGGGAACAGCATCAAGAACAAGAGCTCTCTGCTCCTTTGAGAGGACAGAGGAGACACGCAAAATAAAGGGAACAAAAGTTCTAGCAGACTTTCAGGCCAGAGGTACAGTCTTTTCACGTCATTGTTCTAAAGTGAACATTAAAAAGAACACAAAGTAAATGCAAGTGTTTTCTGATGCTGACATTAAGTCTAAAAACACAATCCCCTGTTCTCTCAAAAGGTTTCCTATCAGTTGCTCAAGAAAAAGTTACTGGTCCTTTGAACAAGGAAATGTAACATCAAGTAAAATCTACCAGATTTATTTGATCCCATTAGCGTACTGCTGCATAATATGTAAGGGGGTGAACATAAACTGTGTGATGCCCTCGCAGTCGCCTGTGAACTCACCATCGCACACAGTACATTTGGAGTCTTTTCTTCAAAAGATCGTGTACGGCACTAAGAGGTAAAGGTATAACATAAGGATCTAAGATACAGGTTCTTCAAAGAAAAGGAGCATTTTCTCCACAGACTGAAGGGAGGCAGTTGGGCACAAAGTAATTAACTAAAGCACTGTTTGTGCTGCATGGAAACTGCTTCTGGAGAGCTTAAAATTTTTCAGTAACAACAACTCCCAAACTTCTTTATTATAAACCAAGTTGTTTTGTTGTTTCCAATGCGCACACACATTTTCTTACGTATGTAATTTCATATAACAAACATGGAACTCCAAATTTGAAAACAAACCACAAGTATGAGGGCATTGCACTAGACAATCAAAAACGCAAGCCTGACTGCTATAAATCACATATTTATAGCAAGATTTCATACAGCACACAGCTCCTAAAGGCTTGTGTGATCTCCCAGAACTCAGATGTACCAGAGCATCCACAACAATTCAGCCTCTTTCAAACGACCGTGTAACTTGCAAAAAAGCAAGTGGAAAAACATTAGGAACAGCCATGTATGTGTATTGCATTTGGAAACTTGGATGGCATCTTTTTTGCAAATTTACTCTCATTTATTGTGTATTTTTGCTTTTTTTTTTTTATTCTGGCCATGAGTCCAAGTGCTGAAAATAATGCAAGAAAGGTTGAATTTGCAACGTTTCTGGCTAGAAAAGAACCCTCCCATGAGAGCCTGATCTGTTTGCAGACTCAAATCAGTCAAAATCATGGGGGGTCATATCAATTCAGAATCAATTCTCATTTACCTATTAATATTCTGTATGTGTATATAGCGAAATATTTTAAGCTCAAGAAAGTCTTTCTTCTCTGTCAGTAAATAATATGCTCCACAATTTTTGGCCTACAAATCATGCTGCAAGGAACAAATAAAATCATTAACAGAGAAGATATCTGGGACACTAATCTGGAGCACCCTGTGAATGTTCAGATTGTCTTGTGTTTACTATAATCAGGATATTTTACGCAGAAAAACAGTGAAGACAGATTACAATTAAAATAAACTATTGTTCTGAATCTATTTAAAATAAAATAATCAACCCTTAACCTAAATTTAAATAATACATGATCAGCTAAAAAGGAGCCTTCATAGAAAAGAATATGCATTTGGACTGAGAACTTTTTTTCGCTTATTTTCATGCTAATTTCAATCTTTAGGAAGAAAACTCTTTAGAATGGGATCTATCATGAAAATGCTGACAGACACTTAAACATTATGCTGGCAGCAAAATGCAGAAAGCTCTTAGTGGTGTTAAACCTTTCATTCCTGCCTTTTTTTTCCCCTCTTTTTTTCTTTTAACGAGTGCTCTACAGCTAATGATCCATTATTGCCACAGAATCACACAGTTGGTCACCTACAGTTTTTTAATATGTGTGCAGTCTTTAATTGATTGCATTTTGTAGTTGGTTCAGAGAACACTGAGCACAATATCTTTGGGAAAGAAAAGGAATATGGTGTCAAGAAGACAGACCTTAAAGCTGCAACAGTATTTGCTGCACACCCAGAAGATGAAGCTCTGTCCCTGTTGGAGCTGGGGGAACTTTTGTCAGGGTTACTGCTGACATATGCCAGCTCCCACAAGTTGAGAAAATAATGGCTCTTTTTTCTGGTTTGATGAAAAAAACGGTAAGGGTAATTTGATACATAGGTAAATCCATGGTGCTTGAGAACTCACAACAAAC